CCAGAAGCACTTCAGATACTGGCATCCCTGGCGCTGTCCAGTGGCACGGGTGAGCTGACCAAGGACATGCGGGTGCGGGCGCTAGGTTTCTACGACATCAGCCGCGCACGCTTCAATTCGGAGGCGCGCCGGGTGGCCTTTGTGAAGGTGCCGCGCGAGGATGGTGGCGGTGTCGCGAGGACCTTGAAGAATATTCATGGGGCCAGCGACGCGGCGCAATGCTTCGATGCGTTCGCGGAGCGCGCGGTGAAGAAATTCTAGACTCTTCGCTTATCCCCGCCAGCCCGTCCGGAAACGATGTCCACGCGAGTTGAGGTAATCAGGGGAGTGCGGGATCGAAGGAGGGAGGAGGAGAAGGAAGAGGCTGAATGGATGGATAAGGGAGTGGGGAGAAGGAGGATGAATAGGATGAGGAGGAGGAGGAGGAGGAGGAGGAGGAGGAGGAGGAGGAGGAGGAGGAGGAGGAGGAGGAGGAGGAGGGAGGAGGAGGAGGAGGGAAGGAGGAGGAGGAGGAGGAAGGAGGAGCAGGAGGAGGACTCTTGGATGCCTCTTGGGAGCTTTTTGGGATGCGCTTCTTGGTGGCCTCTTGGGACGTTTCGAGGGTCTCTTGGCGGTCCTGGGGGGCTCTTGGGCGTCTTGGGTGCCTCGGGGGGGGCCGCTCGGGGTCCTCTTGGGGGCCCCGCTGGGGGCCTCTTGGGGCCATCTTGGGGCCATCTTGGAGCCTCGTGGGGCCTCCTGGGCGCTTCTTGGACGACATCGATCAAAGAAGGGGACTTCTTTAAGCCATCTTGGACGCCTTGGCAGCTCGCGGGGCGCCCTTTCCAGGCCCAGGGGAGGGGGAAACCCCTCCCCGAAAAGGAAGAAGGGAGGTGGAAGAGGAAACGCTCTAGACCATCAACGCCCAGAGGGCTGGTGGGACTAACTAAGTTCCACGCGCGGCGGCTTCAACGTGCACGTGCACTACAGCGAGGAGCGGAAGCAGCGTGCGTCCGGCACGGCGACGAGTTCATCCCGTTGGTCGAGCGCGCCGTGCAGGCATGGTTCTACCGAGCGCTCGGTGAACGCATGATTTGCACATGTATTGGAGTGCTAGGGCCGCGCGAGGACCTTCGGGATACCCAAGAGGCGCGATGCTTGAACAGGCTCGTCCGCGTCGCGCAGCCGCCGTGCAGGACGGCCGCGGCGGCCTTCATCGAGCGGGGAGGTGACCCGCGACGCGTCGAGATCTTGACGGACGCGAAGGGGCTGCAGCAGGGCAACGTGGGCACCTTGACCCCAGACTTCAAGATGACGAAACGCGCCGCCGGGGCGGCGCTGAGCGCGACGGCGAAGAGCCAGCGCCGGTCGAAAGTCATGAGGTACGCGCATCTGGCGCAGGACCGGCCTGAGTGCAAGTTCTCTGAGACATGGTTGGCGCGGAGCACGAATGCTCCGACTCGTTGGGGCACGGCGCAGTCACGGAGAGCAGGTTCGCTCCTTGTTAGCGACGGGCCGGATGGTGTTGCGATTCCAGGAGGAGGACGCCCCCGATGTATTGATGGTCTACAGTGATAGCGGCCACGCCAGGTGCGTGATGACGAGAAGATCAACGAGTTCAACGTGCGTCTTCTTGGGATCTCACCTGACTTAGTCCACCCTGGCGACGCAAACGGCGGTGGCGCTGTCATTGGCGGAGAGCGAATTCTACGCAAGAGTTGAGTTTGCCAGTATTGGCCTCGGCCAGTATTGGCCGGACATGGGCATGGAGCTCAAGGGCCCCGTGAGGATGCTCTGGGATGCATCCGTCGGCCTGGGGACCATCCACAGGGGGCGAACCGGCAGGATCAGGCATATCCGCGCGCCTGCCCCGTGGCTTCAGAGGGCGCGCCAGGACGGACTCCTGGTGGCTCGGGAAGCAGACGGGGCGGAGAGCGTGGCCGACCTGGGCACGAAGCGCGCGGGCCCGCCGACCCTCGCGAAGATGCCGGCGCAATGCGGCGCCGTGGCGCTCCCAGGGCGCAGCCGCATGGCGTTTTGGGCCGCCCTCGCAGTGGGCCCAAGATCGGTGCAGCGGAGTTGGGCGCTGGCGCGGTCGAGGCCGTGGACCCGCTCCGCTGTCAGTGCCGGAGCTGGAATCCGGGCGAATGAGCAGAATTACGCGGACTTGTTCATGAGTGGCGCGCTGGAGCTTCCAACGAAACGCTTCGAGACACGCGGGGCGGGCTGGGCTCCATGAGTGAGGGCGGGAACTTGCCCGGGAGGCGCGCGTATATTCGGTGCACCCTCGAGCTTGTATGGTGTGGGAGGCAAGTCTACTTGTGTCTTCTAAGCTGCATTGCAGCAGGAGTGTTCAGGAAATCCAGTGGTGCAAGCTATCGTATCCGAAGCTGTGCCGGCACGACAGAGTCATTGGAGAGTCGCAACTCCTGGGGTTCCCCCCTCCCCCGGGGACCGCCGCCCTGGGCCCCCCTGGGCCCCCCTCCCCCGAGGCCTCTCCGCGCCCCCGCCCCCCCCGGGGCGCGCCCAGGCCCCCCCCCCCTCGCCCGTCGGCGGAGGGATCAAAGGGAAGGGTTTGTTTTCGACTCGATTACGACGTTGCTCGCTTTCCCTCTGGCTGGAATGTTCGAAGAGGAGGGCCCAGGGACGGGGGCGGGGCGGCGACGGCGAGGACGACCGCTCAAACGGAAAAGCGCCAAGGAGGGGGGCGAGGGGCGAGGACTTTCCCCGCTTTTCAGCAGGCGCAGGGCGCATGCCTTCTGTGTAAGGGGCCGATCCCTTCTCAGCAGCCTCCCTCGCGCCCCCGCCCCCCGCCTCCCCCGCTGTCTTGTCGAAGCTCCCACGTCAGGCAGGGGCGTCTCCCCCCCTCGGCCCCTTCCCTGCTGCGCGCCGTCAGATTCTCGGGCGGGGGCCAAGTTTCTAGGCACGAGCCTTCCATCCGCGTGAGTGTTGTTAGCTTTTAGAAGCACATGGGTGCGGCGCTTCTGCGAGGACTCATTTTTGAACAAGTAATTTCCGCCTTCGCACATGTTGTAGTTGATGGAGCTTTCAAGCGCCAGGATCACATATTCTGAGGAAGTCATCGGCGAAACGCTATGCCTGCCATACCGACGCGTCTGGCTGTGCGACAGGGGCGGCGCAATGTGCTGGCCGCCCTCCTCCTCCTCCTCCTCCTCCTCCTCCTCCTAATTTGGTGCCCAGAGCCTTCGCGGGCGCGTGCGGCGACGCGCTGCTGCCTCGACGGTCTCTCCCTGCCGGCATGATGCTGAAGATGCTGATAACGATGCTGCTACTTGTGAGGATGTTGATGCTGCTGCTGCTGCTGCTGCTGATGATGATGATGATGATGATGATGTTGATTACGTCGATGTTGCTGATGATGCTGATGATGATGCTGATGGTGCTGGTGGTGATGACGATGATGTTGGTGATGGTGATAATGATGATGCTGATGGTGTTGGTGACGGTTGATGTTGATGACGATGATGATGATGATGATGATGTTGGTAATGATGATGGTGATGATGATGAGGGGCAGGGTGATGATGATGATGATGATGACGACGATGATGATGATGATGATGATGATCATGACGATGGTGCTGATGGTGATGATGATGATGATGATGATGATGGTTGTGGTGATGGTGATGGTGATGATGATGATGATGATGATGATGATGATGGTGGTGAAAATGCGGATGATGATGATGGTGATGGTGATGATGATACGGATGATTATGATGCTGCTGATGATGATGATGATGGTGATGCTGATGGTGATGGTGATGGTGATGATGATGCTGATGATGATGATGGTGATGGTGGTGGTGGTGATGAGATGATGATGATGATGATGATGATGATGATGATGATGATGATGATGATGATGATGATGATGATGATGATGATGATGATGATGATGATGATGATGATGATGATGATGATGATGATGATGATGATGATGATGATGATGATGATGATGATGATGATGATGATGATGATGATGATGATGATGATGATGATGATGATGATGATGATGATGATGATGATGATGATGATGATGATGATGATGATGATGATGATGATGATGATGATGATGATGATGATGATGATGATGATGATGATGATGATGATGATGATGATGATGATGGTGATGGTCATGGTGATGGGTGATGGTGGTGGTGATGGTGGTGGTGGCGGATGGTTGTGGTGGTGGTGGTGGTGGTCGTCGTCATCGTCGTCGTCGTCGCCGCCGCCGCCTTGCCTTGCCTTGCCTTAACGCCGCCGTCGCCGCCGCCGTCGTCGTCGTCGTCGAGCAGGGCGTTGTCGACGCCGCCCCACGCGCGGAGTAGGGGGAGGAGGAGGAAGAGGAGGAAGAGGAGGAGGAGGAGGACAATCAGGAAAACAAACAGAGAAGAGCTGAAGGAAGCGGGCTGCCTTTGTCCTGTGGATTTTCGGGCGATGCCCCTGCCGCGCCCTTCTGTGATCGGGGACAGGCCACCCCTCGCGTACCACCGCGGCGACGCGGCCGTGAATACGAGGCCGCAGAAGGGGGCGTGGGGGAAAACAGGGAGGGCATGGGGGTGGGCTGAGAGAAGGAGGAGCATGAGGAGGGGGAGGAGGAGCAGGAGGAGGAGGAGGAGGAGGAGGAGGAGCAGGAGGAGGAGGAGGAGGAGAACGAGGAAGAGGAGGAGGAGGAGGAGGAGGAGGAGGAGGAGGAGAAACAGGAGGAGGAAAAGGAGAAGGAGGAGGAGGAGGAGGACGAGGAAGAGGACGAGGAGGAGGAGGAGGAGGAAGAGGAGGCGGAGGAGGAGGAGGAGGACGAGGACGAGGAAGAGGACGAGGAGGAGGAGGAGGAGGAGGAGGAGGAGGAGGAGGAGGAGCTGTGCTCGCTGTCTCCCTGTGACCCCTCTTGCCCCGGGGGGGCTCCGGAAGTCTGCCGGAGTCCGTGCGTCAGGCAGAGGGCGCACGTGGCAGAACCGCCGCGCCGTCGTGCGCCCCCCCCCCCAATGGGCCCGCAGGTCTGGCGTGCCAACCGTGACCTGCCTGGTGTCCGACAAGAAGTCCGCGCGCCCCCGCCGCGATTCGAGCAGGAACAGAGCGGCGCAGACGGAAGCCTTCGGAGCTCCGCGCGGACGTCTTGGATCGGCGCCCTGCCCCCCTGGCGGCGCCTCCGGTGCCGGCCCTGGCGCGCTGCGCCCGCCAGGGAGGGGGGTTCAGCGCGGATCCAGGAAATCCGCGCGGACCTTCGAAAGTCAATGTTCATGCAGTTTGTGTTGCTCCTCAAGGCCCCTCAAGCCCCCAAAGCTGCGCCCCCCAAAGCGGCGCCCCTCAAAGCTGCGAGCTGCGGGGCGGGCCCCCAAAGCTGCGCCCCGCAAGCCCGACATTCCCGTACGGCAGGTTCGCGTCGTGCCGGCGCGGCGGCGACCCCGCCGCGGGCGTTCTAGTTTGAACGTTGCCAGTGGCCTGGAATCGGTCCACGGAGCGATCTGACCATCCAGAAGCCGCCGACCGTGCAAGTAACGAGTAGTGGGTTATGCCGCGTCTGCCAGTGAAATTCTCAGGTCCGTAGCTAGAATATTACTATCAAAAGACGTGGGGGACCCGACTTCGAATTATAGCAGCAAAACATGTATTTTCGAGTTTTCACGCTGATGCTCAAGAAAGCTCCTCCTTGTGTTCCGAGCAGCGCTACGCGTGTTAAGAGCTCTACGAGGGTCCCGGCGGTAACGTTAAACGATCCGCGTGGTGTCAGAGACCACAGCCAGCGTCGTCATGGAACCAACTTGCCGTATTCACCAACCCCTGCAACCGAGCACTTGGCCTTTTCAGGCCCACTGTTTGGCTTGGTGCTGAGTGCCGAACAGACTCCCGCATGTCTGAAGCCCTTGCTCGGGGTGAGACTTCGCCACCAGCGATGGGAGCTTGGGTGCCCCTCTCGAGGATCCTCCAGTCGCCATCAGTGGTTCGGCGGAGGCAGAGGGGTTGGCTAGCCCAGGGGGCGGATATTACCCGCATTCGCCGAGAAGCCTCGTCGAAGACATGGGCGATCGGAGCCCCGGGATACATGTAATGCCCCCCCCCCCCCCCCTGGGCTATCCGGCCCTGTTGCAGCTGCCCAGTGGTGGGCCGCGTGATACCTCCGGCCTCAAGCGGAAGTCTCGGGAGCTTTCGCGGGATTCCTAAAAAGGTTTCCGCATTTTTTGCGGGGCTTCCCAGGACTCGGGCGTGCCACGCGGGGGCGTTTGAGGAGTCGTGCCCGCACTTTCGGGCCCCGTCTCGTCGCGGCTCGCTCTGTGCCCAGACTGGGTGTCGGCTGGGTGTCCAGGATGACGGGGATCCCAGGAGATCTTGGCGTCTTGGGCCCCCCATGGGTCACGCGCGTGGAGGGGGGGATGGATGCACCATCGGTGACGCGGTTCCCTCCTGCTTGGTGCGCCTGACTCTCCTCCCCTTTCCCTACAGTCGGGGCGTTGACCTAAGGAACCCTAAATAAGGAACGGGGCCCCTTTTTTCCAGAAGTTAACCTTCGATTTCCGGTCGAAAACATGAGGAAAGCCTGAGGCAAGCTGTGAAACACTTGAGGAACGCGGAGCCCCTCCCCAACGAAAAGGGTTCCTTCTTCAGGGCCCCGACTGTAGTTCACCCGAGGGGGCGCGAAGTCAGCCGAGCTCTGCGCACCGCGGCCTGGGTCGGATGCTGCCGGAGAGGCGCCGTTCTCCAGGGCGGCGGCGTGAGGGCGCCGAGGTGACCGCGCGTCGCGCCTCGCTGCGCTGCCAGGCGTCGGGCTCGCGAGGGGCCCGCTCCCGTGCGGAGTCCGGCGCGCTCCGTCGCCGGATCGGGCGGCGCTGGCCTCGTGTCTCGGTGGGTGCCTTCTCGCAGGCCTAGAGATTGACACCAAGACCAGGTCCAGGGGGAGGGGGTAGGGGGAGGGGTAAACCCCTCCCCGAAGGGGAAGAAGGGGGGTTGAGGACAGAGAGAGCTCGCTAAACCACTCACGCCCAAAGGGCTGGTGGGAATTTCGGCGGTGTGCCTCCACCGAGGGAAGGAGATCCCGATCTCGGTGACGGTGGTGATGTTCTGGCCTCCGGCCTTCCCCGATCCGCGGATGCGGCGCCCGCGCGCCAGATCCGCGCATGCCGACTCCAATGTTGGCACGCGCAGACCCTGCAGGGGGAGAGAAGCTCCCAGGATCGGGCCGGACGAAGGAGGGGGGGAAGGGGTACATACGGAACCGGGGTTCGGGAGTCTGCCGCGCGCAGCTGGTTTCCGCCCCGCCGCGTGGCGCCGTTCCTCGATGCACCTGTGCCTCCCTGTGCCTCCCTGCGCCCGGAGGCGCCAGAGAGAGCGGCTGCGTGAGCTGATCCGCCAACCTCCCCTTTGCTATAACCCCCCCGTTCGTCCGACCCGACAGGATTTTTGGATTGCACGCGCGATGAACCTGTGACGGCTGTCGCGAGAGAGTGGCGCTGCAGCTAGCAGAAGCTTTAAAGATCAGTCAGGCAGGCCGGCTGAACTAAAAGACATTAATCTGCACGGGCACCAAGTGGGGCAAGGTCAGCACAGCACGAGCGCCCCACGCATCAGAGCGACCCGACAGGACGGAGGGAGGGATAGAAACGCCTCCAGCATGAAGGTCGGGCCTCCATCTGGGAAGTCCGCGATCCTCTGGGGAGGGCGGGATGCTGCGCGGCCGCCGGCACTGCCAGCCAGAGGTCGCCGCCGCCGCAGATGGTCGTGGCCGGCGCAGCGCCGGTGCTGCCCACCTCGCCGGGCATCCCGCCGGAGATGGCCAAGCCGTGCCCTTTCGGGGACGCCGAAGCAGGGCTCGGCGGGAACCCGGACCTCCGACGTATTGAACAAAGCACGACGGAGGTGTTTCGTCGTGTGGGTGTCTGGGGGGCCCTCGCCGGACGCAAGGATCGTCAAACAGAAATCGGGGGCGAAGGACCGGCTCCTGGGAAAGTGGTTCAGAGCACCCGGGACCCCGTGTCGAAGGCATCAAGACGTCGGAGATCTCGGAACGGGGGTCAACCAGTGCTCCTCGATCCCCTCTGGCCCACCCGGATTCGGGAGCCACTCGGGGCCGGCCCCCCCCCTCCTCGGCATGGGGGGGCCCCGGGGCCTGTTCTGGACATGGCCTGGGTTACCAGCGCGTTCCCGATCCCAGACCCCGTGGCGCTGTGAGAAGACCAAGCTTCGGGCCGGGGATCGAGGTTGTTGGTCGCAGGCGCTTTCTCGCCCCCCCCTCCCGAGCTCCCTCTTCCAAATAACTGGCCGCTCAGATGAGAACGGAGGCTCAGGGATACCCCCCAGGTGGGCTATCCGGATGCAGCGGCATCGAGGATGGATGCCACCTTATCATATACGCCCTGAGCTGGGTCCCAGAGCGTTTCCCGTGTTTCCCCCGGTCGAGAACCTCACAAAGTTGGGAATCGGGGTCACCATATCCCTCGTTAGTTGGCCGTTTTTCATCCTGCTTGGGGCCTCCAGGGTGCTTCTCGTCGTTACGGCTGGGTCCGCCCCGAGGTTTTGGCCAGCACGCACCCTTGGGGAGGTCCGGGGATCGCTTCCTGATTCCCGAGCCCAGACCCGGTCGAATCGAGAAACATCACGATGCAAGGTTCTGGGGAATTTTCGGTTTCCGGGGGCCGTTTTCGGGTCCCGCGACCGTCCAAAAACGACTCGAGATGAAACACTGGCTCCAGGGATGGTCGAGTCGAGACATCCAGGGGCTTACGTTGCAAAAAGAAATAATACGACGTCGGATGTGTGGGTCTTCTTGTTAGATATGTATGTTAGTCGTGCGATTATCATTGTTATCCGTAAGGACTTCGCCCCCTGCCGCTGGTCCCCTCTCTCTCATAATGGGATATATCAGAGTCGCGTCGGTGCGTCTCGGCGCTGCCTTGGCGCATCTGGGAACATGCGGGAGCGGAAACGAGTCATCAGCGCATATCGAGACGTTGGCGTTATCCTTGTGGCTTTCGGCTCATCCCCCTACCGTGCCTGGGTTGTGGGTCTGAGGTCTCTTGTATATGTGTTGGGGTGTCGCGGGGCCGTGGGGAGCCTCTCGGGGGAGGCGGTTTGGACGCTTCTTGGGGGCCTCTTGGGGGCCTCTTTGGGCCTCGTGGGGTATCTTTTGGGCCTCTTGGAGGCCTCTTGGGCGCCTCTTGTGGCCTCTTGGCGGTCTCGAGGGGCCTCCTGGGGGCTTCTTGGGGTACAAATCTAGAATTATCGGTTCGTGGTGCCCTGCTTGGGCCCCTCTTGGGGCCGTCTTGGGGCTCTTTGGGGCCTCTTTGTCTTTGCATGGGATCGTTGCCTCCAGGGTGCGAACATGTCGCAATTTCATGGGATCGTGGCCTCGGGAGCGCGGACACGGCGTAATTTGCCAGGGATCGTGGCGTCGGGGGCGCAAATGTGGCGCAATTTACGGGGGATCGTGGCCTCGGGTGCGCGAACGTGGCGTAACTTAGCAGGGATCGTGGCCTCGGGTGCGCGAACGTGGCAGTAATTTATAAGAGATCGTAGCTGCGGGGGCGCCAGTGCAGTGTAATTTACAAGAGATCGAGGCGCGAATGTAGGGTAATTTGCAGCAGATCGTGGCCTCGGAGGCGCGAATATGAAGTATTTTATGAGGGATCGTGGCTTCGGGGGCGCGAATGCGGCGCAATTTACGAAAGATTATTGAGTCGGGGGCGCGAATGTCATGTATTTTTACGTGTCCCACGGCCCCGCAGAAATTCAGACAACGCGATTCGGGGGTGGTAACTGGGCGCTTTTCGGCTCCACTCTTCGCGCGGACTTCAACAATTTACGGAAGGAAGTAGAAAGCAGGACTGTAACATTGAAGACTGGAAATTGTAACTGGTGCAGGGAGCAGCAACCCTGACCCTCGCAGCCTGATGGCTCCACAAGGGGGCCGGCTCATTATTATTATTATTATTATTATTATTATCATCATTATTATTTATATGATCATTATTACTATTAGTCGTATTATTTTATTAACATTATTAATAATACTTTTATTCTTCTTCGTCTTCTTCTTCGTCGTCTTCTTCTTCTTCCTCTTCTTCTTCCTCCTCCTCCCGCTGGAAGCCTGCTTCTCGCTGGCGACCCTTGCGGTCCCTCCGCCCCCCTTCACACCCAAACAGAACAAGAATTCTCGCCAGCATCAGCAGGGAGCAGCTCCTCGCTGGCGATCGTTGCGGGTCCTTCCGTTTCCCCTCCCTCGGGCGAGCGCTACGCCCCGACAGAACCAGCATACTCACTGGCATCACCAGGCGAAAAGAGCGCAACACTGCTGCACACACACAGACGCTGCGGGCGACGGTTTAGAAATCCTCAGCGCGGACCAGAGTAACCTAGGACAGCAAGTATCGACCCCCCCCGTTCGGCGAACGTATACCACTGCCGCCCCTGGAAGTTATATCTTCCCCGCCCCCTTCCAGCGAACATGTGGCTCTCGCCCCAGCGCCGCGCACAGTCGTCTTCAAAGTTCGCGTCAGCTTCACGAATGGAGGGCGGGTCCTTTTCATAAGTTTGCCATCGCCATAGCGTCGCGCACATTTGTCTTCAAAGTTTGCACGAGTTTCACGGATGTAGGGCGGCCTCTTTTCCGAATGCCTTTATCGCCTTAGCGTCGCGCACATTTTTCTGCAAAGTTAGCAGGAGCTCCACGACTGGAGGGCGGGTCCTAATGTGGGAAAGAGCGTGTTCTACCGCTGCTGGCGGAAAACCGGGGGGGGTCACTACCGGTTCGAACCCTTCCCCCCCCCCCCCCCCCCTCCGGAAAACCGGGGGGGGTCACTACCGGTTCGAACCCTTTCCCCCCCCCCCTGCTCATCATGAAAAGGGGGGGGGTCACTACCGGTTCGAACCCCCCCCCCCCTCTCGAAAACCCAGTGGGGGTGCGGACAGAGGTGGGGACGGTGTTGGTGGGACAGTGGTGAGGGGATAGCGGGACAGTGGTGGGGACAGTGGGACAGTGGGACAGTGGTGGGGACGGTAGTGGTGGGGACAGTGGTGGGGACAATGGTGGGAACAGGGGGGGACAGTGGACAGTGGTGGTGACGGTGGTGGTGGGGACAGTGGTGTGGGGACAATGGGAATGAGGTGGAAACAGTGGGACAGTGGAGGGTACAATGGTGGTGGGGACAGTGGTGAAGGCGGTGGCGAGGACGGCGGTGGGACAATGGGACAGAGGTACAGTGGGGACAGTGGTGGGGACAGTGGGGACAGTGGTGGGAACAGTGGGACAGCTCAGTGGGACAGCGGAGGAGTCAGTGGGACAGTGGGGACAGTGGGGATAGTCGGGCAGTGGTTGGGGCCGTGGAGACAGTGGGGAGAGTGGAACCGTGGTGGGAACAGTTCTGGGGACAGCGGGGACAGTGCGACAGTGGTGGGGCCACTGGTGGGGACAGTAGGGGCGGTGGTGGAACCAGTGGGGACAGCGGTGGTGAGGACAGTGGTGCTGGGAACACCAGTGGGGGATGTGATGCGGACGGTGGTGGGGACCGGGAGTCGTTTGCTGGCGGTGAGTAGGGGGGGGGGGGAGGGGAAGGGGGGGGGCGAACCGGTAGTGGCCCCCCCGGTTTTCCGGATCCGGAGGGTAGGGGGGGGGGGAGGGGGTTCGAACCGGTAGTGACCCCCCCCGGTTTTCGAGCGGGAGGGGGGGGGGGGGGGGGGGAGGGTTAGGGGAGGGGGGGGTTTTGCCGGGGAGGGGGGGGGGGGGGGGGAGGGTTCCAGAGGGGGGGAGGATTTTCGGAGGGGGGGGGGGGGGGGCGACCCCCGGGCTCCGGAGGAAAAGGTGGGCAATTTTCCACAGTAAAGCGGCGGTGGATCACGCTCTCTCTAATGTGGTTATGGCCTGAGCGTCGCGCACATTCGTCACAACAACTTGCACTTGTTTCACGGACGGATGGAGGGCGGGTTCTATTCAAATTATGGCCCCCGCCTTACGTCCCGCGCATTCGTTCTCCACTTTTGAAAGAGTTTGACGGATGGAGGGCGGATTTCTTTAATATGCGATTATTGCTTCAGCGCCGCGCGCATCCATTCTCGAATTGCAGAAGATACACCGATGGAGGGCGGGTCGTTTTGAAAATGCGGTCTTCGCAACAACGCCGCGCATATTCGTGCCAGTCTGTTGGCTGTTCTGAAAGAGCGCCGCGCATATGCGTTGACAAAGTGCGCAAAAGCCTCACGGATGGAGGGCGGGTCCTTTTGAACATATGGTTTTTTTCCGTAGTGCCGCGCAGATTCGTCTTCAACTTTGACAGAAGCTTGGCGGATGGACGGCAGTCCTTTTCCGAATGTTGTTCTCGCCGTCGTTTCGCGCACAGCCGTATATAGAGTTAACAAGAGCTTCGCGGATGGAGGGCAGGTCTTTTTGAACTTGTGGCTCTCGGCCCAGCGCCGCGCGCAGTCGCCGCACAAGTTTGAAAAAGTTTTCCAAATGGAGGCCGTGACTGTTTCAAACTATGCCTCTCGCCAGAGCGCCGCGCACATCGTTTAATATGTTTGCTAGTGGTTCACGGATGGTGGACGTTTTTTTTTCTTTCAAGATGTGGTTCTCGTCTTCGCGCCGCGCAATTTCGTTTAAACATCGCGAGCGTTTGACGGGCGGAGGGCGGGTATCTTTCATAATGTGATTCTCGCCGCAGCGTCGCGCGAATGTGTTTTTAAAAGTTGAGCAGGGCTTTGCGGATGGGGGGCCGATCCTTTTCATCGAACGTGGTGTTCGCCCGAGCCTCGCGCACACTTCTTGTAAACGTTTGAAGCAGCTTCACGGATTGAGGCGGGTCCTTTTCAGAATAATGGGGGCCTCAGCGTGAAACTTTTTGTAACAGCATGCATTATCCTTCTCGTGTGCGCGCGTGCGGGCGCTCTTGCTTGCGCATTACGGAAACGAATTCGTAATGGCCATCTCAGGATCGGAAAAAGAATGAACGAAACCTCATTGTTTCGCTCATATTCTGAAGGCCTCAATGGGGAATAGCGTGTTGTGACACCATGTGCTTTCCTTACTCGCGGGTGCTCTCGCGTGCGCAATCCAGAAACCAATACAGAAGTACCATATAATGAAAGCCATGCGCTTCATTCGTAGTCTAAGAACTTCAAGATGGAATACTGTATTGTAGCACTGCGCATATTCCTCGTTGCCTGCAGGCGCGCCTACGCGCGCGTGCGCTCGTTCCCGCGTGCGCAACACGAATCGATATCATGAATGGCAATCTCAAGTTCGACAGTTCATGGTGGAAACCAATTGTTTCACTCATGCTCTGAGGGATTCAATGTGGAATAACGCATGGCTGCGCAATGCACACATTCTCCCTTGTCCGCGGGCGCGCGTACGAGCGCACGCGGGCAATGAGGAACACGCGCAGTGACATGATTACAGGTTGGTTCTCCGGCCTCGCGGGCCACGGGGAAAGTGCATAGCGCCACCGTGCATTACTCTACGCTGATGCCATCAAGATACGAGTGGGGCAACTGATATGAAAAATTCACTTCCCGAAGTTGAGATGGCAAGTATGTATTGGTTGTTCTGTACGCGCACGAGGAGAATATGGAAATGCGCGGCGAGACAATATATTATCCCACGACGATGGCATCATATCACACGTTGAACACTCTGATTGCCGTGTTCATTTTTTCGAAGTAGGATGGTAATGCTTTGTTTGCTTGTGTATTGCACACGCGAGGGCGAGCGCACGCGAGTGCGGGCAATGAGGAAATTGCGCAGTGCCACGACACATTATCCAACGTTGGGGCCCTCAAACTACGAATGGTCTTCACCATTCAGTTTGTGAGTTTAAGATGGCCATTATTTGAAAGTTTCTGTATTGCGCACGCGAGGGCCATCGCGCTCACGGGCAATGAGGAATGTGTGCAGTGCCACAATGCATTATTCCACGTTGGGGTCATTCAGAGCATGGGGTGAAACAATTGGTTGTCACCATTCATTTTGTTCGGAGCTAAGCGGGTAATTAGCGGGTAATTCTTTGTATGTCTTGGCATTGCGCATACGAAAGCACGCGCGCGCACGCGCGCGCGAGCAGTACGGACAGTGCTTGGTGCTACAATGCATCATTCCACGTTGGAGCCCTCAGAGTTCGAGTGACACACGTGACAATTCTTTATTGGTTTCTGGTTTGCGCGCGCCCCCGCTCGCGGGCAATGGGTACACCGCAGTGTGTCACCATGCATGATTCCACGCTGGGCTGTCAGAATACCAGTGCAGCAAATTGTTTTTACTTGTCAGTTTTCGAAGTTAAGATGGTTATTCCCCGTTGGTGTTCGTATCTCGCACGCGGCAGGACGATAAATGTGTCACAGTACATAATGTCATGATGGGGTGTTCAGAACGAGTGAAACAATTTGTTTCCACCATGCAGTGTTCCCCCGCTGAGTTGGCCATTAACGATTGATTATTGTATTGCGCACGCGCGCAATAATAAACAAAACGCTCCTGTTCCACAATAGTTACATCATATCATGTTTATGTCACAATGCACGCTATCATGCCGCGCGCTCGAATGCTTGCCGCCATAAAGGGCTCGGCGCTTCAATATTTAGTTAACAGCTGGCGTTCGCGCAATCAGCTCACGCAGCGAGCGTTTCAACAATGCTTTCAACTAAAGGGACCGAGTCTTCAGGACTCTTCGTTTGTTGAGAAATCATCCACCTCCACCGCCTCAGCCTCGAGGAACTTTGGAATACGGGTGATGCATATCGCTGTCGTTGCGAAGGGGGGGCGATTTTCCCAGGACTGGGGGGTCCCTCAGGGCCACCGAGACATCTCGATGACATGAGTTGTGACGCAAGGAGAACCACGATAGCTCGTCCAGGCGGTGAGACAGGCTTTCCAAGAAGGCCGGGAGAAGCTTCCCCCATCAAGCTCCATGTGGGGAGTTTTTTTTCGAATCCGCTGGAATCTTGCGGGCTCCTCTGGGGCCCACACGAACCCTCCGAGATCCGAAGGAACCATACGGCATCCTCAGAAATCGCTTGTAAATCAGGCAGGGATCCTCAGGAACTCTTTTTGGACTTGGCACGGGTCCTTCAGTCTGGAGAGAAAAAGCCGTTCACCTTCACTTGTGATGTACAAGTGTTACGGGCGTAAAAAACGCCCCTACCCTGGTTTACGAGGCGCTGTGCGCTGAACCTCCTGTGGGCTGACAGGGTGAACCCTGCACGTCGTGCGTGCCGCGCGGCGTCCTGGCGGCTCTCTGGCTTTGGGGAGCTCCCAGGAGGTTTACAGACCACGCACCTGTAACCCAGGTTAGGGGCGTTATTGCATCCCTCAAAAGTGGTTCGCTGCGCGATTCCTTGCAGGGCTGTTATCCTGTGCGGTGCGGTTCCTGCTCCTGTGCGGCCCGCGTCGGCTTCGAATCCATGTGCCCTCAGCCACTGGCGCTAAGTTCTAAGCCGTGGGCTTGGGGTGCGACGGAAAGCCTTCGCGGGCTGGGTGGCCTCGCGCAGAGGCTGGCGGTCTGGCCGAGGACTCCCCCCTCCCGACCTTTCATGTTTGTTTTCGAGGTGGGGTGTGGGTGGGGGGGTCCAGCCACCCCAGGAGAAGTGAGGAAGTGAGGACTTGATGCCCCTAAAATTTTCTGGGGGTCCCACCCCATCGAAAACTGTTGTGGGTCGCGAGCAAGTTAAGGACCGCGAGCAATCTTATGGTCGTGAAACGGTCGAGGGACGCGAAGCAGTCCCGGTTCGCGACCAAGTCAAGTATTGTGATCTGAGGTCCTATTCTGAATACCATCGGTGGTTTTCGCCGTCCTGCTGAATATGGTAAGGATCTGTCGGGTACGCACTGAGAGCGCGATGTTCCGTAGCACAAGCGGTTCCTCACGAAAAGGCGGCGATGACGCCGCAATCGTAACCCTCAGCGGTTATTCTACGCCTCGCAGCCGCGTGACAGGACTGCGATCTTACTTGTATTCGCCATGCCACTCGTGCTGCCACCCGCAATTGTGCATGTACCGCGCCCAGTTGAAGGCGCAATGCAACCTTCCACCTGTCCCACCCGTGCTGCCACCCACCCGCGACCCACCCGAACCTCGACCACCCCCCGACCAGACCGACGCGTGAACAACCCTCGATCCACCCGTGATTCGTCCCACTGGCGGCCCGCCCACGACCCTGCCGCGACATGCCCGGCGATTGCGATGACCCACCAGCGTTCAAGTCACCCTGTTTTTAAGGATCGCCACCGTCGGGGGGTATGTTTTGTATGGGCTTTGGAATGCACGATTGCTCGTCTTCGCCCGCGCAACCCACCGACGACCCGCCCACGTAGGAAGACGTCCGTTGGTCGTCATCCTCCGATGCGCCATTGTGGGGCTTAGGCAGGATACACTGAACTGACGCCTGCAGCAGATCGTTTATCATCAGGACGTGTGTTAGCCCAATGTGTGTCTACCCCTTTAGATTCACCGACAGCGCGCAGCCTACGTCGGCCATCACTAAACCGCCTGCCGCCTGCGTCATCTTGAAGGGCTTCGGTGTTCGGAGGATCATTGAGCAGAGTCCCGGTTGATTCCCCCGAGCAGGTACATCACCGCGACGGTTCCGCTCAGGCGCCAGCGCCGCCGGTGGATGGGCAGTGACGCCGTCTGCGGACTCATAAACATACACATACACATACACATACACATACACACATACACAAGCACATGCACATAGACACACATGTGTATATATATGTATATAGTTCAATACACATATACATATAACGGCGCACTGGGTCCGGGGGCCCGGGGCCGGGACCCCGACCACAAATGTGCGCCCGGGGGGCCCGGAGGCTCGTCGGGGCTTGCCGGAGGCCTCCCCAGTCAGACAAGACTGTCCAAGAAGCGCCCAAGACGGCCCAAGAAATTTCCAAGAGGCCTCCAAGAGGGCTCCGAGATGCTGAAGATGGCCTCCAGACGTCCAAGGACGCCCCCAAGAGGCCCCAAGAAGCCTCCAACATGCGTCCCAAGAGGGCCCCTAGACGCAAAAATTGGCCCATTCCCTTCGTAAAACGTACATTTTCAACAAAGTTCTCTTTTGGGCTTTCCGACGTTACAGGACGGCCCAAGAGGCGCCCAAGACCGCCCCAAGACGGCCCAAGAAGCTTCCAAGAGGGCCCCAGGACAGCCCAAGAGGGCCCCAAGACGGCCCAAGAGGCGCCCAAGATGGCCCAAGAGGGCCCCAAGACGGGCCCAAGAGGGGGCCCAGAGGGGGACCACGAACCGCAAGCTCGAGCCTTCCGCCCCAAGAGGCCGCCAGGAGGCCCCCAGGAGGCCCCTCAAGAGGCCCCAGGAGACCCCAGACGTCCAAGGACGCCCCCAAGAGGCCCCAAGAAGCCTCCAACATGCGTCCCAAGAGGGCCCCTAGACGCAAAAATTGGCCCATTCCCTTCGTAAAACGTACATTTTTAACAAAGTCGCCTTTTGGGCTTTCCGACGTTACAGGACGGCCCAAGAGGCGCCCAAGACCGCCCCAAGACGGCCCAAGAAGCTTCCAAGAGGGCCCCAGGACAGCCCAAGAGGGCCCCAAGACGGCCCAAGAGGCGCCCAAGATGGCCCAAGAGGGCCCCAAGACGGGCCCAAGAGGGGGCCCAGAGGGGGACCACGAACCGCAAGCTCGAGCCTTCCGCCCCAAGAGGCCGCCAGGAGGCCCCCAGGAGGCCCCTCAAGAGGCCCCAGGAGACCCCAGACGTCCAAGGACGCCCCCAAGAGGCCCCAAGAAGCCTCCAACATGCGTCCCAAGAGGGCCCCTAGACGCAAAAATTGGCCCATTCCCTTCGTAAAACGTACATGTTCAACAAAGTTGTCTTTTGGGCTTTCCGACGTTACAGGACGGCCCAAGAGGCGCCCAAGACCGCCCCAAGACGGCCCAAGAAGCTTCCAAGAGGGCCCCAGGACAGCCCAAGAGGGCCCCAAGACGGCCCAAGAGGCGCCCAAGATGGCCCAAGAGGGCCCCAAGACGGGCCCAAGAGGGGGCCCAGAGGGGGACCACGAACCGCAAGCTCGAGCCTTCCGCCCCAAGAGGCCGCCAGGAGGCCCCCAGGAGGCCCCTCAAGAGGCCCCAGGAGACCCCAGACGTCCAAGGACGCCCCCACGACGCTTCGCGTCACCAATTTCTTCTCACAACGATTCCTGGGTCTGTGACTCGACAGAACCTAAGCGCGCGCGAAGCGCGCGCGTGGTTCTAGTAGTATACATGTAGGCACACACACATACACATATATATATATATATATATATATATATATATATTATATATATATATATATATATATATATATATATATGTATACCCGAGGTTCCAGTTACCGGGGGGGGGCCCAGTCCCATTGCTCCATGGGGGACTGGGGCTCCAGGGCCCCCGTTCCCGGTCCCAAGAGGCCTACGCTCGAGGAAGCCTCCAAGACGCCCTCGAGCGCCCCAAAAGGGCCCCAAGTGGGCCCAGAGAGGCCGTCAAGACCGCTTCCGACGGCGTTAGACGGGCCAGGAACCCACGAAGACTGCCCAAGATGGCTCTAAGATGGCCCAAAATTGCCCAAGATGACTCCAAGTGGGCCTCCAGGAAGGCCCGAAGAGGCCAAACTCATTGATTTTCCCTTGGTTTTTGAAGGATGTTGGTATTTGCTTCTGGTCGGGCCTTCCGACGGCCCGAGACGGCCCAAGTGTCATTGTTACCCTTCTCTGTGTGGATCCCGGGGTCTCTCTCTCTCTCGCTCTCTCTCTCCTCTCCCGCTCTCTATGTGTTCTGCTGTGCTGTCGCCTTTTAGGCTTGGGGGCGACTGTCCGCAGTCGCCGAGGAGATCGTTTGGGCGCGTACTGACAAGATCGCCCTCCTCCATCCGACTCTCTTGTAATCAGAACCCCCCTTGACCAGCAACAGTGGTAAGCGGAGCACGTGGTTGAGGGGAAAATAGAGAAGAGGATTGGAGGTGTAATCAAGAATTTAAGATATAATATTTCCGATAATTTAAATAATCTAAGTTATCTAAACTATTTGAAGTATTTGAATATTTCAAATTGTTTGTAGATGTTGGTATAGCGCTCAAGGGACGCAAAGACTTCATTTCTCCCTCAATCGTGTGTATATATATACAGAGGTGAGCCCGACTGCCCGTACGAGTGCCGTCCAATCGACCGGCTCAGACGCAGGTTGGGATTGGCGAGTTTGGGATGATTGGTGATGGGGCTCGAGCGTTTGGGAATGGAGGGAATCTGACGACGCCAGGAAAGGGATGACTCTGAGAGTGCATGTGCCTCCTGGGGGTGCCGTTCTGAGCGCAGTCGAGATTTCGGCCCTCCTCCCAGATGGGTGGGCCTCGAACGCCTGGAGCTGCATGCGAACAATGTGCGGGCATGGTCGAGTCGGACTGGACACGAGCTGAGCACAACAGCGGACAAATTGGTGGAGTCCCTTCCCGTCGACCTTCAGGTGAAGTTCAAGCCCGTCCGAGCCTCTCTCGGCGATGACAACGGAGTGGAGACATTTCTCTCGCATTTGTGCGTGGATCACGGAGAGAGGCCAGGATCTCGATATCGCATGTCGCACAAGCATGCTCTTTCCGACTACATGATCCAGAGGGCGAGAGCATCGCGGATTTCGCGCTGCGCCGCGACGCCGAGCTGGCTGACGCCGCTTCTCGAAGTTTGACGCTGCCCGACAATGCTGTCTCTCGATTCTTAGAGGAGGGGGCGAACCCTCTGGCCCATAGTAAGATTAACGTGCGTGCTCTGGCGGGGGGCCGTCGAGACGCGGCTTCGTTGGGCCCCGCCGCGGCTCGACGTTCAGGAGAAGCGGGTCCCTCCCGCCAGCCCAGCGCCCATGCCGAATACCTATCTGCGCGAGGGGTCGGCCTCGTGAGTGTCCGTCCCCCTCGGAGGCTTACTTCGACGACGAGCAGGATTTGGATGAGAACGAGGTCATCGAGGTGTTCGCGGCTGTGGTTGAGGAGAAACATGGCAAGGGGGAGCGCGGGGCGTGGGCGAAGTCCCGGGAGCTCGAGCTGGACCGGGATTTTTGCGATCGGCAGAAGTCCTTTCGCCCGCCCCGCCCTGGTTTCGGCCGAGTTGGCGAGAAGGACTTCGAGCAGGGGGCTCGATGTGCGAGCTGTGGGCAGCGTGGCCATCGGGCCGAGTCGCGCGCGAACCCTTCCCAGTCCAAGGCCGACCGGATGGCCGAGGGGGCCGAAGAGAAGAGCCCCTGGGCGCCGATCTCGGGTTTCACATGCTTCTGCGTGAACGACGGCGACGACGGCTTCTCCGGGCTGGCCCTGGACGAGATGAACCGCGCCTCGTTCGCCGACGCGACCAAGGGGCTCGGGGCGCGCGTCTTCGTCGACGCGGCGGCGGCCCAGGGGCTGATCGGTCGAGCCGAGGTGAAGGAGCTGGACCGCATGAACGAGCACGGATACAAGGTCGTGATCGACTGGGCCCCTGTCGTCGGCGCGACGGCCTCCGGGATCGGAGGTCGAGCCGCGCCCGTGGGGAAGGCGTGGGTGCCCGTGGCCCTCGGAGAATGTGGAGTGACCGAGCTCCTGATCTAAGACGGGGCACTGATCGCCGCTGTTGCCTGCAAGGTCCCTTTCGTCTCTCGGCTCCGTGATCGACCCCTGCAAGAACCAGATGAGCGTGGACGTCATGGGCCGTCGGGCGGCGTTCGATCTGGTCGCGCGCCCGCCCGGCCGCCGCCCGGTCGATCTAATGCGCCGCCCGCCCTGCCAGCTCCCCCTGCTCCGCGAGATCCAGGACTCCCTGCAGCTGCCCGCCCAGCGATTCCTGATCCAGGGCCGCGGGGAGGGGTTAGGTAGTCGCGACCAGTGTTCCACGGCAGCCCGGGCAGCCCCCCCCTCCTCTCCTCTTTCTTCCAGCGGGGCCGCGGCGGGGTTGCAAGTCGGCGGGCCCGGGCCATCTTTTCCGGCGCTGTCGGCTCGAATGCCAGGGGGGCCCGCGAGTGCCCCGGGCCAGAAAGCCAGCCGCGTTCGAGATGTCGCCCAGCGGTGGGCGCGGCATCAGCAAGAGGGGCCCGCGCGGCAAGTCGCCGCGCGCCCCGAGGCGGGGCCATGGGGAGATCATCAGGGGGGCGCGCGTCGACCTGGGCGCGCTCCGATCGCGAGCCGCGAGCGCCCTCGAGGACGGGCCTGGGGGCGCGGAGATGGAGGTGCGGGGGGAGCTGCTGGGCGCGCCGCTGGTCAGCGAGGAGCTGGAGGCCACGCTGGTCCTCGAGGCGACGGCCGAGCGGGAAGGGTCTTGCTTCGTGAAGGGCTACGCGAAGCTGGAGCTGCCCTCCCGCCGTTGGCGCCGGTTCGTCCTGGGGATCGCCTGGCACCTGCGCGCGCGCTCAGGTTCCACCCGCCTCGACGCTCGTGCCGAGCGCCGTCGAGCAGCGCGAGGGTCCGGCGGAATGCGCGCGCCCGCCTCGAGCCTGATGGCCCTCGAACAACCGGCACGGCCGCTATGCGGAATGCGTGACGTGCCAGTCGATGATCCTGCGCGTTCATTTCGCGGACGAGGAGATGGCGGACCGCGCCAGAGCCAAACCAAGGTAGACAAGCATTAGGCGATCAGAGCCCAGT